CATCACTGAAGGATTGCAGCTCATGTAAGTACATACAAAGTTGTATTTCACTGGTGCCGTTGCCATTACTATTTTACACTGCTAAGAAACGTTCCTACAGATCGCACATTACTATGCGTTAAATTGATCATCAAGCATACTTCGTGCCATTGTTCTCGGTCGCCAAGAGTTGGCAGGCCTAATACGTTACTTTGCTGTATAAACCAGTAATGGCTCGGATGTTTCGACAACCAATAGGAGCTGCGCTCATTGTCAACCTCCCACTATGTGAGTGGAGGCAGATACAGTGGATCACGACTCGGATCAGAATCAGATCTGCTAGATATAGACTCATCTTTTTTTCCTCTATGATTTACTTCTTTTCTGCACCCTAATTAGCCCGAGGTCGAGGTCAGAGGTTCCTCCCGCAGTAATCTTCCCGCACCAGCCCTATCAACACTGCATGTCGTACCATGCGTACACTGTGTTTTGTGAATTAGTGTTTCTCATGCGGTGATGCTAGATTACTCCGTCGCCGAGATCTCAGAATCTCACTAGCCCTTGTGGCCACCTTCCACTTTTACTCCTTTTGCTGAGTGCTCGGTCGAGCAACAGAAATATCCTAAATCGCCTTTGTTTTCAACCTTCCGATGGTTTCTCTGCGGTGTTCCAGTGAACAGCGACGCATTCGATGCAAACAGGCTTTCAAGATGTTCTAGACGACCCTATAAAAGGTCGTTCGTCATTCTTGACCGTTCTATCCGCTATCGTAGTAAGCAGGTCTAGTTTCTTTGTCTTCAGTGAATTGCGATAGGCTTCCACAGATACTACCACTTACCTTCATTATCCTGCGGTCATGCGTTGACCCTGTGTTCCAAATCGTGCCTTTTTGACCCTGGCATAGATCAGAATTAGGCATCTTACAACCGTCGATCTCGCTGGCAACCTGACTCAAGCATCTCCATGCTTCGCTTGGTTTCCTATATGTTTCTCAACTGACACCCCGACAACTTTCATTAACATGAAACCGTCCAAAAGGCGCTTCCGCACTTCTAGCCAGGACATGGATACGGATTTTGGGGAATCGGGTCTGAGTCCAAGAATACGAGGGGGGAAAAGGACGCCGCACTCGCAGCTCGTATGACTCTGTATTGACGAAGGGTAAACAGGCAGGACGTGGGTAAATCGAATTTGGGAACGCAATTGGCTCTCCAAGGGGCTTTGCTGTTTGTTTCTTCGGATACTAGTCGACATGGCGAGGGTGACAAGGATAATCATATCCAAATTGAGTGGTGCGAAACCGCACATCGTAACATATGACAACATGAATTATTCCATGCAGGTACTGCCAAGGGTTGAACGAGATATTCCCGGCCCGATGAGTCCATCATGTCACATCGATAGATCGATAGTGGCCATGTACCTGAATTGTGTTATGATATTGTGATATGACGCAATGTTCTAGTGCTCCCCGAATCGACACGCTACTACTAGTAGTGCGCTAGCAATAGTGCGCCACAGGGCTATCCCAGGAAGTCAACTTGAATGTTTGCGACTGAGCAATAAATGAATTTTCTCCTCGAACCGACTAGGACACTGTGTGCCAATCTTCTGAAAAAAGTTAGGCAGTCCGAGGCCATAACGATGCCACGGATGCGACGGGCAATAATGTCTGCCGAATAGTAGAGGCTTGCCGGTGAGAATTGAACTAACTTGTCTTGACATCATTCTCGTCCCAGGCTTGTGACAGGAAACGCGATGCAAGGCAGTTGCAGTCGGGAGTTCGCGAAACAAGGAACGAGGAACACTGAGGTTGTCAAGAAGGGTAAGTATATGATATAGATTCAAGGCAGCCTCCACCGCCACACTGTTATTTTGCAACTCGGAGGCAACTTTAAAACTCGGAGGATTTTCCGACCCAGTCTATTAGGGCAGCAATGTCACCCGAGCGAGCGACAATCTCCTGTGACCGCATTTTATCTTGTCTCGCAGGTACACGGTGGACGCGGAAGATGCCAAATGATGAGTATGCAGGGTCATACTGCGACGTCGTGACACGCGTCGACGCCCATTGCAATTTCTCTCGCGCGCCATTCATGCCTGGACGAAAGGTGACAAGAGCCTGTGTATCTAAGCAGTTAGCAAAAGCTAAAAGTGCGCGCTCCCAAGCACCAACTAAATCAGGAGCGGTGAGCCTCAGAGGCTACTCAAAGGTTCGTTTTTGGATTTTCAACTTTCAAATACTACTTGCGAGGCAACCGTCCGTGAAAGCTCGGTACTATGTATTCTCAAGGGCTTACTCACTGTGGATGAGCGCTTATGAAATTCATCGCTGCTTCTGATGGACCTATGAAATAGCTGAAGATAATATTCGCATCGATGGTTGGCCACCGACTGAGATCGTTCGAGACTAGGGTCATACTATTAGAGGATGGGAGGGAGTGAGTGGGGGAATTTGATGGATGTATAACGATCGCATTCGTGCTTGATATACCACCATCCATAATTTAGTACATCGATGAAGTGATTTCAGGGTTGATCGAAGAGTTCAAGCACGAATTCGAGTAGAAAGGGAATGTGCATCCAGGGTTATATCGATGAGATCAAAGTAGCAGTTGTTGATAAAACCATGTAATGCAGTGACACGCGCTCAATGTTTGAGCGCCGCATAAGATCGATGCGTAATATCTGCAACGTGCCAGATCGATCGATCTTCGAAGTATCTTCGCCACAGCACAGCCTGCAGATGGATTCTACCTCAATGTTCTAACACAGCTTTGTTGTTGTGGGGTACGCAGGTTTGCTCTGCGAAAGGAACGCCGCTTCAGGTTTGCCGTTACCGATGTATATGTATCCTGGGACCCTGCCTGTTGTGACGATGTCAATTCTGGTGGAAAGGCAAATGCCACTGGCCAGAAGACGTTGACTGGTTCATGGACTATTCCGATGATGTTTCAGGCAGCAAGTGACGACGTCCTTTTGCTACTGGGTAGCATGGGAGTGAGCAGCAGCATGCCTCATCATTTATGCCATGCTACCTTTCGCATCGCTCACAGCTCTCGAAAAAAATTGTCCTCCATCGATGTCATTGATTAATCAAGGCTACGGTACACAGTTTTGACCAAGTTCTCCTCTGTTGTCCTGTCTGCGACCAGATGCAATGCCAGAGGCCGATGATGTTCCTGATTACTTCGATAGTGACTGCGACTTTTTCCATCTTGAACTGGTCTTTTCCCCCGTGAGGAATTCCACCTGGTGGTTCCGTCTGTTCAGGAATTGCTATATAGATAGGTGCATTAAAATTATTGCAGAGTGCTGCAAATCACATACGCTGCGTGCTCTGCCTTTTACCTAGCTGGTATCTTCCTCCGAGTGGCATCTGAACAGATGTCGGTCATGGTTCTATCAGAACAGCATGTTTCAGTTCGTGCCCAAAATAATATGATGAAGCTTAGCATTGATCTCAACGACTTACGCTTTGGTGGTATCAGCACAATTGCTGCTACAATGATGAATACGGTCCGCGCATTTTGCGCGTCGTGAAGGGCCGAATTCAAGTGTAATCTTCAGTATAGATATGCTTACTGCAGTACCGGTGTGCGAGGAGGAATTAGCATGAAGAATCCAAGAGTCTTCATCATTGCGACGGCCGAATACAAGTTAATGACTGCCTCGTGGTTTCTTGCAGCGATAGCCTCGATTCCCTGGCGCCAGCACGCGGTGCAGTCTCTCTTGAAGGCTAAACAACCTCGGAGTAAGTGATCCGATTAGTAGCCTAGGCTCACTTTGGCTGTTATCCAGGGTTCTTGCACTGTGGGAAGCCCATGAATTTAAGTAGGAGAAAACGTTGAAAGTCAATAGCCTGAGAGAGCCACTGAAACCAATGAGGTAGCGCAATGAATTGGAACTACGTAAAGAGATCATCGGAACAAGACAGACTCAGCAGCAAAAAAACGTGCATATAGAACGTGTTACATGTCACGGTTTGGTAACGGTTTGTGTACAATTTGGACCTAATCTCTCCGTTTAAGTTCTCTCCTGTTTCACGCTCGTCTCGCACGCCGACTTTTTCTCACTTATGTTTGTTCTTAGCTTGTCCGTTTACAATATTTACAGATGCCTGGACCGATCCTCTTCAAACTTAACTGCATTGTCTTGAGCAATGATCCTCGCCGTACCAATATTTTCTCAGTCCACATTCCGCCGACGCAGACTGTTGATGACCTCAGAAAGGTTATCAAGAACGCGAAGCAAGATTTTGACCATGTAGATGTGGACCGCCTCGAGCTATGGCAGGTGAGTGATCTGATGCCTATGATTGGATGTTGATAATCTGATATTTTGGAAGGTCGACCTGCCTATCGACGAGACGATCGAGCACAATCTTAACAATCTTACACTTAACCCAAAGGAATCTATCACCTGTGGATGAAATGCTCGAGATTTTTGGCAATGCTCTTCAGCGTAGGCGTCTGCATATTGCTATCCAGGTCTTACCTGCCGGTGAGTTGTCTTTCGATATTGCCACCCTTTCTTCCTTACTGATCGCGGTCTGACTTAGTGTCTTATGGACCGCCCCACCTCAATCTCAACTGTATTATATTGGACGATGATTCTCGCAATCCATTTGAGATCAAGATTGCACCGACAGAGAGTGTCAGCGCCCTACAAAAGGTTATCAAACAGAATACGCATAAATTTGATGGTGTTGATGCTAAGGATCTCAAGCTATGGAAGGTGAGTGATCTGATGCCTACCATTGGATGTTGATGATCTGATCATTTGGGAGGTCAAGCTTCAAGATCGATGTGACCGACCTACATTTAGTCCGCGCGATCGGAAAGGAAGCCATGGAGTTGAATCTGTTAAACAAGCTGTCTAAAGAGTTCGCGGATGGAGTAGAGGACGGATACATTCATGTCGTCGTACAACATTCTGCCGTTGCACGACTCATTCCAATTGTCGAACGCCGATTGGCTTATCTCAAGAAGGGCGCAGGTACTCCGTCAGCTGGTGCAAAACCGGGCGTATTCTCTGTAAAGCAGGAGGAGCAAGAGTACCTTTGCAATCGTCCTCGCAGAGCCGCGAACCCTGTTCCGGTCACTCTTCTCGAGCCTATCTTCGCCGAGTTCGTGGATAATTGTCAAAATCATCAATCGATGGTCTATGATAACGAGCTTGTTTGGCGACTTTCGGAAAAGATGTCCTGCTTCTATCCCGATGAGCTCTCGCGGATGAATGTATTCCGGCATGTGCTCCGCCAGTGCGGTATCATACTCAATTCTGGTTGGCTCGACAAAATGTATGACAGACGGACATCTTTTGTCCTCCGACGGAATGTTTGTGCAGGTGATACTGGAGGGTAAGAACGAGATCGGAAGCGACGGTGCCGAACCATTCGCGGAGGCAATGTTGTACCACCGCAAGTTTATGCAAGACTCGAAGGTTGAGTTAGCCAAGCTCTGGTCTGTCATGCCATGCATCCATATCATCGTCTTCGGTTAGTTCATTTCATCAGATTCATTACTAAAGCCCTTTATTGGCCACAACTAGGGGCATGCATTGGCTTTGCAGGCTCTGTTTTCACATACAAGGTCCAGTCTGATGTCCTGGTCCCTATTGTAAGGACTACCGAGCGGTTGACGCCGGAAATAGCCGAAGTAACGCTCACCTCTGCCATCACCATCGAAAACTTCAGCACGGACCTCGTCATCATCCTATCCTTGTTCCCCATCAATGCCTCGTATAATCGACCCTTATTATTCTCGTCTCCGTTATCCTGCTCGCAGCCAAACCGCCGAAAACTGTCAAACCCATGCGCACTCTCGTTATCCTGTCAAACCATACCCATTCATACCTCCGCTCGCTCATTTTCGTACTCTTTCGCGCTACATCTACTCTACCTTCTCGGACGCGACGATTCTACCTTCGGACTCCGTTTTTCGCATTTAATTTCGGCCTAGCCATCAATAAGGACCCTTACTATTCTAGAGTATGAGTAGCCCATGTACAGTCCATACTGACAGGCAATCATACCCAGTCTCGAAGTCTCACTCTCGCATTCATTGATATAACTATAACTATCGTCTAAAAACGTCTCAAAATCATCACATTCCCTATTTGTCTAACGTTCGCTGATAGCTATCTACTCTTTAGCGCTCGTATATCCTCCAGCGGTCTCCACACCCCTTCGCACTCGCGAGTCTTACGCCGACTTACACTATCATTCCTCTGTTTTGGCATTCAACAGACCTCCGTATGCAAGTGATGGCGGCTCGTACTTTCGGGGCTCTCAAAATCGCCGTCGAGAAAATGACAGATCTGTACTCCTGTCCAATTCCGACCGTCGAATCCAAAGATCGATCTCTAGGATGTCCTTATCCTCGGGAGTTATACCCATTCAACCTCAATTGGTGACACTCAGGAATTCTCGTATGATGAGACTCAAATCCTCAGGGATCGACTTATCTTCTTCGGGGAAACCGTCGGCGATGCGGCTGGGAGCAAGATATGTATCAAGTTCGTCAGGCACTATTCCCCTGAGGCCCACAAATTCTGTGCCAACAAGGGGCACGCTCCCAAACTGATCGCCTACAATCCTTTACCCGGCGGCTGGAATATGGTGATTATGGATGCCCTTGATATTGATCATGATTACCTCCCGCAACAGCCTGGCTCATATCGACCGCTCAGTAAGATGGCTGTTATGGACCGTCAGCCGCTGAAGGAGGCCATCACCTCTCTCATCCAGGAGTTACACAAAGACGGCTACGTTCATGGCGACCTTCGGGATGCCAATTTCGTTGTGAGAAACAACCAAGACTTCATGCTGCTCGATTTCGATTGGGCTGGACTGAAGCAGGAGACCCATTATCCTATGCATGTTAATCGGAAGGATATTCGACGTCCTGATGATGCGTGGGATGGGCAGAAGATTACGTACGGTGGAGCATGACTTGGAGATGCTAAGCTACATGTTTAATCCTGAGCAAGATGATTGGGAGTCGGCTCCAAAGCGCCGCCGTATATCTAGTGAAGGGTCGCTGATGATTCATTCATAATTCGTTGTATCACCATTCGTTGTATCTCTACTACTTATTTTCACGTCATACTGCTAGTCAATAATTGCAGCCGGTTTCTTCGCGTTTCGAGGAACCGTTTTTTGGCTATACCGGCGCACGGGAGCCTCCTGGAATCCCATTAGGCTATCATACAGCGACTTTCTTTAGGAGAATGGCCACATAGCTAATTAGTATCTGTTGTATTGTAGTCAGCAAAAACAATGCGCGTGCCATCGGTGTATCTGAGATTTCCGAGTAAAATTGCCATGCATGACCTCAGTCGATCCTCGTATCGTGTATGTACTCTTGTTAACTCTCCCTCTATTCAGTACCTCCTTGGGGTCCACCGCCGCCTCTCCCCACTCTCATGTGGACACCTGCAACTAAGCATTTAATATCGAACGTCACATCCGGCAAGAGGAAAAGTAGCGTGGTCTTGACATCTCAGGCTTGAGTACTAGTATTGACAGAATGGAACGTGCTAAGGATAAGTAAGAGAGACTGCACTGCGTGCTAGGGCCAGGGAATCGAGGCTATCGCTACAAGAAACCATACTACAGATGCATAGAAGAATAGCTGCGCCATGTGAGATCCCTGGTCCTTTTCGAAACTACAAAATCTCCAGCGTCCTGAAATCTATCATCATGTGTTGGTCCTGAACGCCTGAACGCCTGGCCTTGACAAGTCCATTAAAAAATCAATGTTAAAAGTCTTTAGCTTGACATCGAAAAAAGGTGTAGGACAATAGATAGGGATGGCCATCTCGGTACCGACTACGAGTCCATGTAAATGCGAAATGCACAAGAGTGTTGCAATAAGATGTAGACAGGTCAGAACGAAAGCAAGGGTGAGTACAACAGTTTCACAACGTCACTCGTATGATACATCGACATCCAGCAGAAGCCAAAAAGACCTCAGAGAACCCGCGGCTCGTCCCACGCCAGTGAGCTGTCTGCCTGGTCTTCTTGATCAGATTCTTCTGGTCGATACCGACCTTCGCCAGCGTCGTGATCATGAAGTCCCTCTGGTTGAAGTTGAACGAGGGATTGCCGTCCAGGTGCCAGGGAATGAGGGTGTGAAGGGGTCTGCAGACGCGAAGGGGATTGGGACCAATCACGCGAGGGGCGTGGATAATTTAATCTAGGAACGGGAGGTTCAGGGCTCAGGGAGTGTGAGCGCGACGGCCCGGCAAATGTTTGGCTGCTTATTTCTCCTGATGGATACTTGTATAACGAGGGTGGTATGGGCGAGGGCGCAGGGATGTCAGATGGCGAGTAGTAAGAGGGACTGGGTGAGACACTATCTTCCGTGTTGTATGGATTCAGTAGAGTGGCCCGGGGGACCAGCTCGATAGCATCTGCGCCATTGTCGTCAGGACTTTTCCTATCAGAACCTGCGGGGGATCTTGAAGATGTCGGCTCGTAACTTTGCTGCAGAGCTAATTCCGACGCTGAACGAGCGTGAGGTTCGCGAAACATGGGTGCAGTCTCAAGATCAACAACATGTTTGTTTTTTGATTCCTTGCGATGGCGGATTCCCAGACGATCTTTGAGATCCCCGATAACCCACATCTCGCGAACAATGTCTTTATCCAAGGGCATATACGTCGACTTGAAGAACTTGGTGAGGAACCGAGGCGCTAATCGATTGTCAGTTAGGATGGGTCTCCAAAAACACCATTTCGACTTACCCAGTGCCACCAAAACGGAGAAAACAACTGTCGTCCAAAACGTGACATTGGAGAATAGAATCTCTACTTCGTCTATAAATCCATCCGTGTTAGAGAAGAAGGTGTTGACCGGAAGGAACGAGTAGATCACGATCCAAAGCATCATGACAAGGGATGATCCGACGATGACTATCCAAGTGATAGAGGTCCAGCTAGAATAAGCAACATTTAGCGTTATCAAACCAGCGCGAAAAAGCGTACTCACTAGTGAGTGTTCATCCCGACATATGTATTCGCTGCAAAAATAGCAGCAACCGCAACGGTTGTCCCGAAGTCAGCTAAAGAATCAATCCCTCTGCCGTTGGACGCCACAGCCAGCCCAAGCTGCCAGACCAAGTAGGGAATGAAGAAGACGACCGCAGATTGGTAAAGACCATCGAGCATGTAGAACCAGAACTTTGTCCGCGTGTACTCCAAGCCTCTGATGCCACGAACATAGAGCTGAGGGAAAGCAAGGGCAGCTTTTGCATTAATATCTTGATCGAATGCTAGAACAAACAGTTGAGCGGGATCCAGTGAATAATGAACAAAGGCTCACATCCGAGCACGATGACAGGCAGTGAGGTAAAGATGAGGTTGTAAAACAAAATAAAGCTGTAATCATATAGATAGGTTGCATCGAAGCTTTTAAAAGTGTTGTCAGCTAGTTCATATAAACCAAGAAGAGAAACTCACTAGCAAAATGGCATAAACCAAAACATGGCCAACGTCCAGATAACGTTCTGAAGTGACGAATTAACGGCAGGTACAATCAAACAAAATCGCTTGACATACCTTGTAGAAGAAATTACTATGCATATCAGCAATACGCTGGTACGACCACCTCCCATGGACGAGCAGCAACTTTGTCAAAAACCTGAATTGACCAAAGGCATAATCGGCAGACATAGCAGCTTGTGAACCTTCGTGTCCAAGCAGACCACAACCAACATTGGCTTCTTGAATCATTGCGACATCATTAGCACCATCTCCTATGGACAACGTCATCGCCTTCCGACCCTCCTTGACCTTGACACCGAACTCGAAGTCAGTAAGATACCTCAGGAAGTGACGGTATACTCACCAGCTTCACGGTCAATGCCTTCTGGGCAGGGGAGACACGACAGCATACGACAGTTTCGCACTGGGTACCAAGGTTCAGGAACAACGGCTTGATATCCGGCGTCAATGCATGACGTAGGGTGTCACCATCGATAACGACCGCAAAGGAAACCTTGGCGCCAATGACAAACCCGCGTTCCAGTGTTTTCGAGGTAGGCGGGCCCAATATTGACGCAATTTTGTTGAGACCCGCTTCTATCTGAGCAAGAGCGCCTTCGGGGGTGTCAGCAGACAGGATCATAACTTCCATATCTTGTTTCAGGAGGTTACAGCTGAAACCTAGGGAACGATGAAATCCAGTTGTGACGACATCAAAGACCCCACTTACCAATCTCGATCGCGGTCTGGAGTTTGTCGCCTGTGAGAATCCAAAGCTTGATTCCGGCGCGATGGAGCATTTCAATAGCTTCCGGCACTCCTTCTTGTAGCTTGTCCTCAAGAGCCGTAGCGCCCAGTATCTGCAACGAGTGTTCCACCTCCGCAGCCGCGTTTTCAATGGCCTCGTCGCGGTTGTCGATAGCCGACTGAGCATCTTCATACGTCCGCACCCACCTCAAGAACTCATCCTCCTCGAGCACTCTATAACCAATACAGAGCGTGCGCAAACCACCATTAGCGAAAAAGTCCATGTCCTTGGTCGTCTTCTCCTTCAAAGCAGGGTCTGCATCCTCGGCAAGCCGTTCGTATATAACACTGTCCGCTCCTTTGCAGTATAAGATGAGGCGTCCATCTGATGCACGAACGATGACGCTCATGCGCTTACGTGCGCTAGAGAACTCGAGCGTCTTCATATGCGTGAACCGTTCAGGTTGTCCAAGCACTTCAATGTCAATCGTGTCCCTCTGCTTGCCCACAAAAGGAAAGCCAACATCCCGCGCAGCAGCAACCAACGCCGCCTCATCTGGAGACTCAGCCTTATACTCCAAGTGATAAGGGCGCTCCTGTGGTTCAGGCTTATCTGCCAAGACCGAGTGACACACAGCCAAGGCACGGAAAAACGCGACGATATGAGAATATTGTTCCGTCGAGCGGTCTGCGAGGTCCTCTGCAAGCTTGGGCGAAACGAGCGTGAGTTTGTTGACCTGCATATAGCGGTTCTTGAATAGCTTTGTCAGCTTGGTAACCATGGTATCCTTGAGCGATGCAAGCTTTTCTGCCAGCTCTTCTGGTGCTACTGCGTCAGCCTGGCCTTCCCTCGTTGCAGCCCCGCGCTGCGCTTCTGTAACGCCCTCTCCGTATATGACTCCGTGCACCGAGCATTTTTGGAACTCCATCACGTTTTGGGTCAGCGTTCCAGTCTTGTCGGAGAATATATATTCGATTTGCCCGAGATCATCAGAAATACCCCAGTTCTTCGGGACACAGGCGGTGTTGAAAGGCTTGTAGTACATATCCAAATCTTGAGCGATGAAGTAGGCTTGGATGGTCTTGACGATCTCAATAGAGATGAACAGGGAGATTGGGACGATGTTCTGAAAGGCGATGAGACATGACCTGAAAGAGTGTTAGCGAGCGTGAAGATGGCATTACAAGGACATACACGAAAGTAACGAGTGCGTTGAGTGCATTGGAACTGGTGGGTTCAACACCTTGCTCATATATAAACGTGCTTGTGGCCGTTAGCCCATCCATGACGCCGTTGATGGTCGCCGACACCGAACAGATGATGACCAAGAACAGGAAGTTCATTATGACATTAAAGTTTGTCTCCTTCGCGATCTTCGATTGCTTGGATGGTGTCTGTCCACCGTTCAAGTATATCTTGGTGTCCGGGCCGGTGAAGACGACCAGTCCGATGATCCATGCGGTGTTGCGCACGGTGCAGCCACGAAGGAGCAGCTCATTGATAGTGACACCCTCTTTACGTGGTTCGCCTGTGGTAGCATCCGTATATCGCAGGACCCCATTGTATACATACAAGTTCTGGTGCGGAGGTTCTGAATCAAGGACAAAGGAGGATTTTTCGATGTCTTCTTCTGAGCTAAGGGATGCCGTAGCCTGTATTGCCTTCCGTACCTTGAGGTTCGTTTCGCCGTCAAGGTTCTTGGTTTCGAGATAGCACAGTCCGCTTGCATCTGATGTCGATAATACGACGATATCAGCAGGAACCTGCTCATCTTCCCGTAGAAGCACGATGTCGCCGACCTCCAGCTTCTTCCACAACGTCCTCTCCCAACGGGCTGTCCCATTCGTGCGCCTGCTCCAATCTACCACGCCCAGATATGACCGTGAAGGAGATGACTGCACATAGTTTGATAGGGACATACTGTGCTGGCCCCATGCTCCAAGCTCGTTTTCGGAGAGCCCTGGAGGATAGGTATGTAAGTCCACGCTGCCTATACTGCCTTCAATGTCCTCCAGTTGCCGGCCACCTGCCGTTGTAGGAGGGTGAGATCCGCCCAAGGCTGTAATACTATCGTTCATGTCTGTGGTACTCATGCTGACCCTATCCTCACCGCCCTTGCTCAAGATGACCTGCTTTCCTTCGCCTGCTTCCTTCTCCCGTAATTTCTGCACTCCACGAGTGATTTTTCCAGGAGCATTTATATGGAGCAGTCGTTGGTACCATGGCCGGGGATCAAGGGCCAGATTTACGTTGCGCCACTGCCCGAGTCGCGTTATTGCTGAAGTGTTCACTTCCTCATCGAGTCGGGCTCGTCTATAATCCTCAACAGCGTCCTTGACTGCCGTCACGACTAAGATGAACAACAACGGGAGAGCTGCAGTCTGCGGAGATGCGGCACCGAAGACGGAGAAAACTGCGCAAGTCTCATCAGCAAATGTTGCTCCACAAGGCACTGCTCTGATTATCCATATGAGCTGTACTCACGTTGAAAAATCACGAGCGCTAAAAAGTAAATATTGGCGATTCTAGGGGCAATCAATGGGGCTACTGTTTCATCGAGAGTGACACGTACCGGTGAAATTGTTCAAACAAGTTCTTTGGCAGAAATGTCAAGAGGGTATACCCTATGAACAATGTTACACTCGAATCGGAACTGAAATTTAAATATGAAACATACTGCTTGTGCGAACTTTGTTCCGTGCATACCGGGCGAGCGGTTCGCCATGATGGTCTGTCTCCATAGCAGAGAGTGGTTGATTAACGTATATGTTCCTCCGTGCGCCTGGAATCCGTGATTGCGGGGCAGAGGGGGCCTCAGCTACTTGGGGCGTTGATGGGCCTGGTTCTGAAATCTTTGGTTTCTTTGCATTCTTGCGAGAAAACAAGAATCTCTTCTGGGTCCGCCTCTTTTGCGCTCTAATTTCTGAACGGATGGATTCTGCGATAGTGGAAGCCGCTGTGTGCACTGTGCGGAGACGAAGTTGTGGGTCTATGGTATCATTCTCGTCGATGTCGGACGGCGGCGGATGCCGCTTGAACAAAGACATTGAAATGGTGAATTAGTGACCAGGGGTATTGTGAAAGGGCCTAGGGGCCGAGAACCAGCACGGCAAGGTAGAAATCAGGGAAAGAACGACAAGTGGAAAGACAAGCTTGATGTAGCTCGTGTTGTAGCCTTCGCAGCTATGCAGTGCCGCACCAATTTTGGTCGGTGTGTGATTAGGACCCCGATCACCACCAATATAAAATCGAATTCCGATAGATTTGGATTGGACTCTTGACGAAGTTGTCGAGGACGGTGGTGAAGCAAAGAGTTCAAGTTGTCAACGTGGCCGTCAAGCCACTCAATCGAATTATCTCCGCAAGTACATTACTAGTACGTTGGACACGACGACCACGGTCATAATTAACTTCATTTCCAATCGCAGTGATTATTATTTTCAGCACACGTTGATACATGCAGGCTAAACTATGGTGACCATGCCGCAGGGTAAGTACCCCGCATACTGCGCACTGCGGCCCGGGGTTGTAATATTGTTTAGGTGATCATTCGAGCGAGCGGGTCCCCGACTTTGTCGATGCACATCTACAGAGGTGTTGTTTACTAAAGTGACTCTAGTCACTAGTTTAGTAAAACGTTTCAGAGCGTACTTTGAATACCGTCTTAGTAATTAGTAACTAGTAATTGCAATATCTTCATTAATGTTGTTTCATATCTGCCGCTCCATATGATACAAGTTAGTGATAATGTTCCGCATGGTTTACAACTTAGAAAGTCTCATCAAGTGGAAGAGCTACTATGTATACATACCTTCAGACACGCACCGTGCCAATTATACTGCATGTCGTAATGTTGCCATGGGTTTTGGTTAACGTTCATCGTTCATCGATGCATCTTTGCACCCAGTCAATTGCATCTTGAACATGTTGATGTCGGAGAAAGTGTCGGCAATATCAGACACTGATTGTGGATCTCGATCATTGACACTATTTTGAACATTCTTCACGATCGAAACAAGTTTAAGGCGCTTAGCAGCATCGATGAAAGACAAGTCTGCTGGAGATACCTCACTGACTGACGGAGGGGTCAAGGAAAACACCCACGAGGCTGGCCGCTGTAATCACGATTCACAACAAACACGTTCTCCTGGGTTACGGGGTGATATATTTCAACGTCATTGCGAAGAGGATGTCGCCCTCCAAATTCGAGGTAGACCCGTTCAGCTCCCAACCCAACGGATTCAACCACGGCGCAAACATGTCGGCCTCGAGATTGCGTACGTCGGACGCCATGGCAGGAGTCCAGTTGGGAAAAAGGACGAGGGAGAAATGAGTAACGAAGGACACACTGTCGGAGGTTTGAGCGTAGTAGGATCGTACGATAAACGAAGAGCTGTATGTATTGAAACAGAGAGTCGAAGGTCCAACTTCGTCTGACTCTAGGGTCGCTGAGTCGCTGACATGTTGAGCTGGGCCGAGCGTTAGCAGGAAAGAACCGGATCGCTGGCTGAGCTGGAATCCTTGTTCCGAGATATTCCGGCGGGCTGACCCGGCACGTGCACCAAATATTAGTGACCATGTGCCACTGCCGCGACCAAGTCTTTCGGTCTTCTAAACAATCTTTCATTATAAATATTGTAGTCTGAATCCTCCCCATATTTCTTTCTTCAAAACGGCGTAGTCGCGGGCGTCATCTCAAGACGCGGTCAGTGCCACCTTTCTTCGCTTCTGAGGTCCTGACTTGTGTGTTGCTTGATATTGTCAATATCACTGAAATTTGGCCCGCGCCAAGGTCATCGTTATCTAGGACTGTTCCGGAAAGTGGATCACAAGCTCTTTCTCATCATAATCATAATCTCCTTCATCATGATCCTCGTGGTTCCAGTGGGATAGAAGCCCGGTATATGGCCCTGGGATCCAACCATCAAGATGGTTCCCAGCATCCATTCCCCGCTGATGGTTTCCTGCAAAGCCCAACCGAGCTGACTTTGAACAGGTGTTCGAAGATGGATCCACATTCCAGTCAACATCACTGTGCCTCTGCTAGACTGCTTCAAAAGGGTCATCCATGCAAATTCGAGAATGAATTCCTGTTGCGCGCCCATGATGCCATCGATGTCTGGGGTAGTCAGGATCTTTGCGCGTCGTATTGCAGACTCACATTGTGATATATGTGTTAGTGGCAGATGTTTGTGTCGTCTCAGAATCCAGAAAGCCGAAATCTGACATAGGCCTGCGGCGCTGGAACGCATTATAAATTAGTGTTCAGTGCAGACACCAGGAACCGAGTAGGTTATATGATCATGTGAAGTCCAAGGCGCTGATGTAGAGTTCAGTGGTCAAGTTGTATTTTTAGCAGCGTGAAACTCGAGTTTGGAACGTCACAACAAATACGGCAACAACAGTTGCAACAGTGGCACAGCAGTTTCCTGGTGCCCAAAGGTAGTGCTGTGAACACAGGTCACTATCTCCTGGCCTGGCAAGCGAATGACAAAACCTGTCACTGTCCTACGGCGTATAGTAAATATCAACAAGTACTATCCGTTGGACTGCACATAGTAAACAAACACTTCTCTCGACATCACGATCACCATATCGTAAGGCGTGCCAAATGAGTTTCTATTTTTGCCCTCTCAAGTGCTGTGCTAGATTGATCTGCATCTTATGATGATCACGACTTGGAGTCTCCAGAACTGGGTGGAAAGCTCTCATACGTGTGTCGACGACTGTACTTAAGTGGGGCCTGCAGCGACGTTAGTCCCTCAAGCAGGTCTAATAGAAGACAAGGGCAAGGTTTTATTTTTGTTTCTAAAATGACTTCTATTTTATTTTCGGAGATTGCGGATCTGCAGATATCCAAGGTGTGTGAAGATCGCAGCTTCGAAGTCACTGATCATTGATTCTTTACTTAGTTTGCTAATAGTAAGTGCCCTCGGATTGTCCGCGAGGGAGACGGCGACTAATTACTGCGTTGTATCGTCAGTCGGTGCTTTTGCGATTCTTGTAAGCATCAAGCCATTCATTGTTATCAATGACTCTTTTCGGCGTGTCAGATATTCGATTTCTGTATCACGTTCCAAGATGAGGTCAAGATTAAAATACTATGTCCGTGGCTGCTGTTCTCATCACTGTCTATAGGTAAAGTGGACCTGGACCAGGCCATGGGATATAATTCGTGTCATCTTCACCATATCTCGATATCTGCCTTTCATAGGCTCTGGATTGACTGCATATGGTGATTCATCTATCCTTATCTTTTGCGTATCATTCACGGTTGTCGTAGCTGCACTGCGTGTCAGCGGCCCGGTAAGCATCCATAAGAAATGGCTTCTAACGATAAGCTGATCCCATGACACAAAGCCGGCCCCCAGTCTCGCAGAAAACAGCAAGTCGTCGTTTAGTGGTTTCGACCTAACAACGCGATATTCAGTCATTCATATCATAGGTATCGTGGCTGCGGAAGGTGCGAGTTGCTCTTATCACCCATACAAAGAGCGGGCAAGATCATACTTCTTTGACAGGCTTGTTGGTCGTTCGAACATGGGCTTTCTGGAGAAAGAGCAAGAGGGTGCTGATTGGATTAGTAACTTATAGCGTTGTACGTGTTCCACAGGACTGGAACATTGACCTTTAACTTTGCAATAGGTGACAGTAATCGCCGCTGTTTCTATAAACGTCCTTCCCAATCACCACTTGATATCAGCAGGTGAGTTCATTCGTATTACCAACACGTGTCGTTTTAATATAGCTATCAGGCGTGTCTACGATACCCGGGCAAGACTTCTACTCGTCAAGAAATGCTGCTTTGGTATATGCTGTATTGGCACTCTTCGAATGTGGTTAGTTACTGTGTAGGGCGTACTGTTGGCCATCTGACCCGACCTGACAGTGATACTGGCCCTTACTGCGTACAAGAAGTTCAGCGACTACCGGAAAATTAAGAGCTCCATCATAAACACCATTTACGGCGGTAGCATATTTTACATGCTATGCATCATCGGTGCGTGAAAATAATTTTCTTCGACGTTATTGTTGTTTAAATTCGTTTCGCAAAGCCATCACAGTCACCAATGTGATTATTGACGCTGTATTTCCGGTGCGTGTGCTTGTCTATTAAACCCCAGCCATTCGGCGACTTATCTTTTGTTTCTCGGCTGTAGATTGGCTATACACAGATATTCGATACGTATGTCACCGGTTGAACTGCCATTGCTTATGAACTCACTGATGGGCTATTAAGGCTACAACTTGTCATTCACAGCGTCCTAGCCTCTCGAATTATGTTCCACCTTCGCAGTAGTCACCATGTCTGCGAGATGCACGCATCATCGATGTTGATGACTTCAGAAGCTATACAATATGGACAGCTTTCGCAAATGCAAACAAACGACTTGGAGAGAAGGAGTAATGTTTGACAGTATGCAAGCCAGCTTAGTTTGTCGTCAAGATTGGACATGCTTTTGTTAGAGTCCACTTTAATAAAACGTTCATGTAGCTACGCAAGTAGTATTTGAAAAAAGTCCTTTGAAAGGACGCCTCACTGCCGTAGACACTGCACGGAAGTAATTCGCTTCCCGTCGGATCCGACCGAAACAATTGTTGCGTGATGTCGTTAGTACGGCACGCTCTCATGACAATTGAATTCCCCTTCTCTTTTGTCTTGCATGACAGCTGAAACAAAGGGAGTGGCATCGCTGTATCGCAGAATTACAGCCTTGCTTAAGTAGGCGTAATAAGTATGGCATGAACGTTCAACTTGACTGCGATCCTCTTCTGCTCTCAAACCATCATGAACTACCAGATTCACCGTCCACAGTGTCATATCAACATTCTCCCAGTTGAGATACTATCGTACATATTCACGCTGGCCACCCACCACACCATATCCACCGATATTGATCCCAAACGAAGATATGAGGTCCCTTTCAGTCCCGAAAGCGTCACAATGCCAACTGTACTCGCTTCCGTACATCGCCAATGGAGACATATTGCACTATCTACCTCGACGTTATGGTCAAGCCTCTCAATGAGTCTTGAGCAGGTTGTTCGTGTTAAAGTCGGATCAGACGAACGCGCATACACCACTTTCCTCGACGTGCAGCGCCTAGCCGCTCATATCGCGCGGTCACGAAACTCCCCAGTGGACATTCTCATCGACACTCGAGATCCAGAATGGGACTTTGAAGAAGAGTAAGTCATGCTTTGTTTGAAGCTCGCATCGGTCCCAACATCTTCGCGCTCAGGGAAGAATGCTCATCTCACAATGCTGCGACGTTCTTCCAATATGCCACTTTCATCCCCCAAATCCTCGACCTTCTGTTCCCGCAGATGTACAGGTGGCGTTCGCTGACGATCCTCAGCGACACGTGGGCACCTCTTCGTGTCGCTCTTGAACGCCTCAGTGTGCCTACTCTGATAAAGGGCTCGGGTGCTCCGTGCCTTGAAACTCTGATACTCATGCGATGCAATGAGTTCTTGGGTCACTCGGACGTCTTCTCCCCACGCACACAACATATGTTCGACGGGATACCATTTGCTGCTTTGACGGGCGCGCCCCACTCTGCACAATCACACCCCCTTCCGAAGCTGCGAAACCTAACTCTTGTCGGCGTTCACCTAAACTGGGCACATCTCTCTCGTTATACTCTTGGTGTAGCTCTCAATGAGCCGCTTTCACATGTTTCCAGCTGCATTCAGTCATTGGAGCTTTCGCAACATTGCCGTGAAGTCAGGCCGACAGTGGATGAGTTTACGGGAATTCTCAAGGCTTGTCCTCTCTTGCGAAAACTCGTGATCAGGGTTTCTGGACCGAAGTTTGATGCAGGGGTGCAACGCAGCGATCGTCCGGTTTCGCTTCCCCTGCTTGAAGAGATTCATTTGGGGTATACCAATGTCGAAGATGCTGCCATGCTTCTCAGTCACATCCATGCCCCTAACCTCATCTCGCTTTCCATCGAGGATGCCAATCACATTGCCAGTCCTGATATCGAGGACTCTGGCCATCTCCTGACTTATCTCGCAACCGGCTTTCTTGATTTATGGGACATCTCTACGGAAGCTGGCTTGAATCATGGAGTGTGCACCTACTACTTGGCCACGTCCAAAGATTCCGTCGCCAAGACGCCATTTCCACACCTGGAGCGATTGTCGCTCAACGGTGTCGCTGCATGCTTGATTCCCTTCAGTCTCTTGATGGCTGTCATTCCGAAACTCCGCAACCTGTCGCTATCTCGTACCCCAAATGCGCTGCTAGCTCTGTTACCCATCCAGACTCCTTTTGCGGATGCCTGTACCCGCATCATACCTTGCCGTGCTCTCGAGTCCATCGAAGTATTTTGCATTGAAGAACAGACAAGAAACCTGCTCGAGTTTGTGCAGAGGGAACGCGAGCAGAGCGGTGCGCCACGTGTGTGTAACGTCGACATGCACCTTGAGGTATCCTCCGCGGATACCGGTGAAGAGATCGAAGGGTACCAGATTATTGAAGACGACGTGGTTGAGAACCCGACTGCATATGGGGAGTGGGAGCAAGATCCATTTGCGCCTGGTGGTGTCTTTAATGATCCCGATTTTGACGAAGCGTATCATTATCTATCGTAAGCATCGATATCGAAGCCTTCTGCGTACAGTGTACAGCCCTTTGATCTATATTACTTGTGGTCGTCGTAAGCAGCGGATAATGTTATTAACCTTGTCGTGACTATCCGCTGGGCCGGATTTGAGTCATCCGGCGGCAATGCGTGTTTAAGACGGTGCTACGGCCGCATGTCACCAAGTTACGCACGAAAGCTTCTCGTGTCGCAGCAAGTTTGAGGAATTACTTCATTCGGTGGCCTCATTACCTTATTGAAGTTTCTGTCAGAGTTTGGATTTCATTACTTGGAGTGTGAGAGTTGGTGGGGAAAGAAAGATAGACTCGTAACCATCATGATTCTGCGTATGCGCGTTTCAATTTTGCGATATAGACAGGGAACGTGGGGCAAGTCACTACTTGCTGTGTAGACGCATGACTGGCAGGCTCGGCATGTCGGGTATCGTTTCCGATGAGTCGTACGTTGTCTTTGTGCAGGGCCTCACCTAGACAAGCCAAGGCAAGCCCAGCCCACTAGTCCATACGATCACAGCCCAGTGAGCAGAGACTAAGTAGCATAGGATGTCAAAATGGGTCTAAGTGGAAATGAACGCGCAGTAAAGGGAAGACGTCGATCGAGATCCGGGTGCTTCGTCATTATTGCATCATGTGTCTTAGAACGTTCGTCCAATATGAATCAGTGCGCGATTAAAGCCGCGTTGTCACACATTCAATTGAACGAACTTCGGACTTGTTGGTTGCAGTGAGGTAACGTCATCTACTTGCGTGTCACGATGGGCCTTTTTTTTTTCTTTTTGAAGAGCCGGGGTGGCCGACGAGGATTGCGTGATACGTGGGAGGTCATGGGATGTGGATCTTCGTCCGAAACGTTCCGAACGAATGCTGACTGTAGGACGATGATTAACAAGAAAATCTCCGAGAGATGTGATGCACTTGACAATGAATGTGTGGAAATAAGATCTAGCGAACGTATATATCCTCTAATAGATGGAAAAGTCCGCGATTTGTCGCGTTCTGGACCCAAACAAGCGGCGCGCGAAGCTAAATAAGGACTCCGCGTCTGATATCAGGGTTACTGGAGACTGATAGGCTATTTGGCAACAACGCACTATTGAGAAGGCCGAGAACTAGGCCGTATGAATTCAAGAATGTCACGAGGAACTGTCTTCAAGAGGGGGGCTGCAGATCCAAAGCGTATGCTCCCAGCGCATAGGCTCGGGAAGTTTCGACCGATGGGTGGTGGAAGTGACGGTTGCAGGAGCTACCAGAGCTATGCTTTGTTAGGAAACATTGGGCCATAGCATCAGCTTGACGTGTCCATCAGTTCAATTAACCCTTTACTGTTACCTCGTGTTGCATTGAAAGCTCGTGGCGCCCATAAATGTGACGTTGCAACGACTTGACTTGCCTCTGGATGTTATGGATTGAAGATTCGGGCCATCATCCGGGTGTGTTCACTGTTGAGATACCGCGCTGTTCACGGGTTTATTTTCAACTTGATGTCGTTAGCTTGTAACCATCCACCCCAGATTTACGTTATACGACACGTCGAGGGGCTGTCGAGGATGTGTTAATGGTTCAGGTTCAGAAGAACATTTATTGAGCGTCTGGGTGAAGAATGAAGCTGTATCAGCCAATCAACGTTAACGATGAACGTAATGTTATGAAAGAACTTTATAATAACTGACCTGATGACTCGAGTGACACAAAGTTCAGATCGGGCAACATTATAGCGTCCGTCGTTACTTGGTCGCGTTCAGGGGGTAACTCTGAACAGGAAACTAGCATCTTACACACACCTTTGACAGCACCTGGACAGTCCGCGGAGTTATCCAGTAGCTAGCGCTGAGTTGCACAAACTATTACTGAACATTCGGGTGCTAGTCAGATGCAGCAGTGTAGCTACATGCAATTAGCTGTGTAAAATTTTAGTGTGCTAGAGGATGAATGATGTCGATCTTCACTTCATGATGCGATCTGGAGTCTACTCGGTCCGGATGAACAACAAATGTACAAAACTGATTGGGCAACCAACTCCAATACCCAGGAACAGACCGGGGGAACAGACCATAATTTCCCGATCTAGTACCTACACTTGGCTGCCGATACGGGCCGGCCATGGGAAGGATCATTAATATTGGGCCGCTCCTGCCAGACAAAGTCCGTTGCACTTGCTCTGATACTTGACTGCCAACCCTTTCAATTCACTTTTCATTCCTCATCTAAAAAATCATGTCCCCAGCTCAGGAGGAGCAAGAAAAGGCTTCAACGTCCATCCTCAAGGAGAGACGATTCAAGCTCAGTAGGTCAGTCGTACTCTCCCTCTCCTACTATACCAATTTACTCACCTCGGCCTATCTCTCAGAGCGTGTGATCGCTGTCGGTCAGTGCCTACTTCATATCTTATCTGTCATCAGCCATCGCTCACCATACTTCAGTCGAAGGAGAATCAAATGCGATGAGGGTCATCCATGTCAGGCTTGTCTCACCGCAAATTCACCCTGTACCTTCGAAGAACCAGGAAAGCGAACACATCCTCATAAATCAAAGTTCGTGGTCTATCCATATCGTTCTGAAATAGATACTCATCACCTTGTAGAAGAACTGCGACCCTAGAAGATAGAATGCATCAACTCGAAACTCTCATTCAAGCAATCCCCCCTGCTGTCTTCGCTGCTGGAGGTGCGGGTGCATCTGCACTTACATCCTCACAATTGTTATCTTCAGATAACATTGCTAGCCCTTTGGTGTCTTTCGCCTCAGCAAACCATAGCTTTCCTTCGGGTGTCCCACCCCCATCTCTCCACGTTTTCCCACTCACCAATCCATCTACCCACTTCAGGGCATCTCCATCCATGAGTTCTCCGCGGGCTCAGAGTCCAAACACGGCATTTTCCTCCATGCTTGGGCAGTCGTCTCATACCCCAAATGGATCAAACTGCGAACAACCGGAAGAGACTACACGCATGTCTATATGTGCCTCCTATCTGTACTTCGATGATGAAGGCTACACCCGTTGGCAAGGAGAGACTTCTGGCCTTCCTCTCTTAGACCTTTTGGTCGAAAATCACACCCAAGTCAAGTCTGAAACGGAGAAAGACTCCCCAGATCCGGCATGGGCAAATCCATCCCCTCATACTGCCAACCCAACTTGGTTTCCGAATAGGACGCCTAGACGCACAGACGTCAATCCTGAAACGTTGTGGCGCCTTATCACATCATATATAGTTCCAGAGCTCATGGACAGGTAGATTTTCTATTTTTTCCTTTTAATATCGCTTAGGCTAATCTTATAATCGTCAGCCTAGTTCAATGCTTTTTGTGTACTTCTTACTACCTGCTGCCATTCCTACATGTTCCGACATTTCTAGGGGTGTGTGACATTCACATGGTATCCTTCCCGTACTCACACGATCCACAATTTCAGGACTATGGAAATCCCAGAAAGTGGGGTGAACCCGGTTTCGCAGCGTTAATTGTAGCTATATGCTGCCTCGCGTCCCGTCATATCGATGATCCGAGAGTACGATCAGATCCTAGTGATGGGATATCTGCCGGCACTCAATGGTTCGAATTGTTTGGACGCCTACGTACTCTTCCGATTGCGGACCATCCCACATTGTACACTATCCAGGCCGATCTAATCGCCGCGGTCTATGCTGTTGGTCTGGGAAAACTTTCAAAAGCAGCAGCACTCTTATCAGAGGCTATCACCGTGTCGATAGATACTGGCCTCCATCGATCGGCCGACACCTATGACCTCTTTAATCCCATCGAGGACGAAGTCCGCAAGCGCACATTCTGGTGCGTATACCTATGGGATAAACAGCTATCTGCCCACTTTGGCAGACCCCCGATGATTCGCCTTCGGGACACAGACATTGGAGAACCTGCTGTTGTAGATGACGAGTTCATCACACTTGATGGGATGCTTCCACAACCCGCAGGAACAGAGAGCCGTATGAGTGCGTTTATCGCCGCTGTGAGGATCATGGTCGTAATGGAGTCGGTGTTGGACATACCGCCTCCACGCGATCGGTCGGGTGACACTTCTCCATTCTTGTTACGCGCTGCAGGCGTACTGTCTGGCCACGTACGTCCAAAAGACCTGCGCGAAGAGGAAGCATTGCTAGACGAAATCCGCCGATCAATACCCCCGTACTGGGCGCACACGTCGGCAACATTAGCGAGTGATGATGTGATCAGGGTCACCCAGGCCGTGCGTTTGCACTGCGCTGAGCAGTATGTCAGAATGTTGATCCATCGACATCGCTTCTCAAATTTTGTGGCGGAGAGAGCGTACAATGCGCTGATGGAGGAGGATCCCGCGGACATGGAGAAGGAGGAGATGAGTGCGGCGCAGTCATGTGCGCTGCAGATTATCTCGTCGCACATGCAGGTAGCAGGGAAGGGTCTGATGACGTATTGTGAGTGTTCTCATTATAGATCGTCTTGCATTGGTTGATCATTCATGTCAGATGGTGTGCATGTGATTCACCAGCTCACACAAGCAGGAAGAACCCTTATCACCATATTGATTAATTGCAAGACCGAGAAACTCCAACATTTGATTCAGCCGGCGATTGACGCGCTTCGATCGTGTGTTGGGTTATTAAGGCGATTCAGTGGGCGATACGTGTGTGGACAAAGATCAGGCGATCTGATGGAAGAATTTTGTCGTTGTGAGTGTTTTTTCCTGGCATCAGTGATCCTCTCGGCTGATTCATGTGACCAAAGTGACGCAAATTCCTCTGGAGCCCTCTCGCCCAGAAGGTCAGGAACAGCCAAGTTCGCGGCCTCCCTGGATCAGACCTATCCGCAAGAAAACACCCAGCGTGGCTGCCAAGGGTGCAGGCAGTGACGGTGGGTCGCAACATAGCAGTCCCGAGGCTTTCTCACCCTCCGAGTTCTTCGTTGACCCTGTTCTTGGAGCCACGAGCCCACAAACCATACCGCAGAGCGCCTTTTCGCCAGCACCTATGCCCTCATCATCACAATATCTACGGCGGTTGTCGCTTTCGGCGCCGAGTTTTATGGACCCAGGTGGCATGGGCATGGACGCGTCTCCGGGAATGTATTTGTCGTCACCGGCAGATATGATGAATATGTTCGGGGACGGATCCGTGGATGTTGCGGCCCTTTTTTCTGGCGCGTCTGATTTCAATATGGGTCAGAGTCTTGCTGAACCACATGAACCGTTGTACGGGCACATGAATGGGGGTAATAATAATCTGATCGCGTCCCCTTAAAACGGTCGCGTGCATTCTTATGCAGTCGAGCTGTATGATTTATTGCAGGCTTTTCTATTACTGTATTCCCATTATTACTTCGTTGTATGACGCCAGGCTTTCGCGAAATATGATACATTTGTTGAGATGCGATCACGTGTTGAAAGTCACTCGAAACAATCAATGTCATTACACTCACTTTCAACATATTCCCCCAACCTGAGATTTTGGCTGAAATCCGCTGAAGTCAACTAGCTGCTGCCGACTCGGTGATCCGTGCCTCGGGGATGCACAAACGCGTACGGTCCATTCTTGCAGCGTTCATTCTCTTGTACTCCGCCGCCGCCGCCGAACTCGCTTCGAGGAATTCTAGTTACTCTTCACATGTTGGGAAGCGAATGCAGGGCGGTTTGCACTTGCCCTTGAGCCGGAGGCTTATTCCCAAACGGATCACGCTCGGCGCGGATACCGGCGTAGCGGGACTTGGCGATTTCTTCGACGTGTGAGTCGTACGTATGAGACTTTTCTTCTTGACTGACGCTCCACCAGAACGTATAGTGTCCTCATAGACATCGGCGGCACATCCTTGCCTGTCGTCCTAGGTGAGCTTTCAAATATACAGCAGGAGCACTGCATCTGAGGCTGAGGAGCGCACAAGACACGGGTTCCTCGGATTTGTGGGTTCTGTCCAACGTATGCCAGGGAACATGCTCTTCAGCAGATACGGCTCTTTACCCACCGAACACGTTCCATGGTATAGGCCTGGATGCTTCCCTCGTATATGGCGATTCGAAGACTGGGACGTATGCGAGAGGGATGATTGGATATGACGCTGTGTCATTGGCGGGTCTTACTTTGCAGGATCAGTATTTCGCGGCGATCAACGATACCAATACGTCTGTGGCTCAGACTCGGTGCTCTGGGATCTTTGGGCTTGGGTTTCCTCTCAACAGGTGAGCGTCTACCTGAGACAAGGATGTTGTGCTGATAGTCTGTGGAGCGTGATATGGACCGATATGTTCATGAACCAACAACAGGTCTCGAGACCACGAAGTCTTCATCGTGATGTAGTTTCGCGTATCTCGGCTATGCGGAAGCGTTGGTTTGACAAGTCTGTCCTTGGAATTTCCTCGTTTCGACATATCGATCCTCCCTCTTACCAGTCTATGCCTCAGCTGAAACGTCAGGCGACGACCTCGTCTTCCGTCATTTCTTCTTTTGGAGTATCCGGTCCATTTATTCCTCGCCTTGTTTCGCTCGGAGGGCTTGCGTCGCCCATGTTCGCGATTGCTCTGCAGCGAGATACGATCGAGATTGGGGGGAACGAAGGCATGCTTTCTATAGGCGGACTGCCATCTGGGGTTCAGAATGAGAGCCTGACGTGGGTTCCTGTGCGTCAATATACGCTTCAACAAGACGGTTTGACACAGGATACTTCTCTCGAGGTATGTTTCACCTTGGAGTGTTGTACATCAAGCATTTAATCCGCCCGCGAAAGGCGTATCCTATTGCTTGGGAGATTCCGATAGATGATGTCTTTCTTGACGGCGTGAAACTTCCCCGGTCGCAGTTGTGTTCTAGTAACATCTCGTTGTCAGCGTTGATTGACACAGTTCGTCATCCATAGTCCACTGACTCGTACCGGATCTAACATCTCTTTGCAGGGCAATTCTTTGATTCGAGGTCCGCCTGACGTCATCTCGTACATCCAGAATATGCTGGGGGGACCTCACTTTGCCTGTTCATCTCCTCATACACTGGCATTCCAGATTGGTGGTCGCATGTTCCCCGTCGACCCAAGAGACTTTGTGAATCAAGTGCACTCCGGAGACGCACAAGTGTGCGGGGCGAATCTTGCGCAGACTGATGTGCCTGTTCTCGGTGGGGGTGGATACCTGTACAGCTGGAGTCTAGGAGATCCGTTTCTGAAAGGGTGAGTGACCGTCATATATGTATTTGTCTGCAGCTGTGGAGATAGAGAGGACGGATCCATGCGGAGCTCCTCGCGTATTCCAAGCGGGAGCTGCGGCTCACCGTTTTTTTGTTTCTTACTCCTTCGGTTGTCCTTTAGGTTTATTGTTCCAGACCGCTCATTTCTTGCTAGTGTGCTCGCAGCGTTCTATTATGGTTCTTTCACAGGACTTTCGCAAGACCCTCCTCGGATCGGGTTCCTGTCTACCGTTCCTTCTGATGCCGGTCAACGTTTAGAGGATGCTGTCTCGGCAGCATCTGCAGGACAGTATGATCTTCCTGGTTGGTTGTCATCTTTTGACATTGGCAGACTGTCTTATCATTCTCCTGCAGGAACGAAAATGTTGCCGCCATCTTCCCTTTCTTATCCATTGAGCACCGGAATTGGGGGGATTCCTATGGCATCTTCTCTTTCCGGATCTGCTCATGGTATAAGCGGGAGCAACCAAGTTGGACAGGTAAGTAGTGCACGAGAGCGCATGCAGGTGGGCTCTGCTGCCACTTTGTGGTGTTCATTCTTTACTTTAGCGATGTGGACATTTTAATCCGCATTTCAAGTTTCTTCCATTTGTATCATGTACCTCGCATTTGATATACTGTAGCCCTATCTACCCGCATACGTTTTTTATTTCATATTTTGGCTACCAGTGACGTTCAAGTTGTATCCACTATCGCAAAAATGGCGCCTATCGACCATTAATCGGTGGGCAAACATGTATCATTTCCTTTCCTGCAACTCACTGGTTCTGATTTCGAGAATCAATATGTTTTTGGTAGGGTAAGTACATAGGTTTGTGTAGCTTAGTCAGCCACAACGTCTAAGCAGAGGCCTTGTTTGAAATTGCTCTTGATCTACACAGTCTAACATGCAGTTTAGTTTGGGTCCAACTTCCGTCGTGGTGTCATTTTGCGTTAGGTGATAACGCATAACGCCGCAAGTTGAAACGTTGAACGTTGAAGCTTGACAGTCGTTCAGCAGTTCGTTCTTGAGTCATGACATCTATCACTCGGCTGAACGAGGCTGATCAAATAGATCAATGGAAGGATTCCACGGCTGTCTTCCTGCTATTGGTCTAGATGGGACTAGACCACTGACAAGCTCACTTCATAGACAGACTAGTCTCGGGAGACTCCTTCAAACAAACGCTATTCATGCAAGCGCGGCTCATACTACTCGCCTCCACCAACTCCTAGTCCTTATCTACCACGCCTACAGCGGGCCGCAGATATCCATACCCCTGAATCGATAGCTTAAGCTTCTTGAAGAACTGCATCCTCGCCAAGACTAGTACTATTCCCACAGCAAGTACGAGTAATTCCTGGGAGCCCCGGATCGCCGAGGGACCGAACAACGTCCGTTTGCTATTGTGGTCTCGACTTCGCCAACGATCGGGCAGGGTCGGTACTAGTACTAAAGCGTTCCTGGTGTACCGCATCCGTGGCCGAAGAAGTGAGTAAACTCGATGCAGGGTTATGCTACGCGAGAGGATGGTGACAGTTCATATACGTAGAGGATTGGCGTTGACATGGGCATGAAAATCCGCTTGATCTACGTATCAACTCCTAAGTGGAGAATGGATAATTCACAGGCTATGAAAATAAGGCGGTGTCCACGGATCAAATCGAATGTTTGGACGTGTGGATAACAAGAACTTCGCCTTGGCTTGACAAGTGCGAGAATGATTACAATGTGGGTGCTCAAAATTCGAGATCGATCGATACCCTTTTACTAATCTTTCTCCTGGTCCGGTATCGCAGTTCGTTTTCAGCATCCTCCCAGTCCCCTCTGACACGAATAATTTGTCAGATCGACAGAGGCCTCCGACCTCTACCCAGCGTTATGACGCGACTGGTCAGCGAATTCTCATCATCACATTAGCGGGTAGGTCGCGCTACAATATTAATAACGACAATCAAACACCATCCCCAATAACACGCTCACAAAATACGACCCTATTTTCTAACAACACGAGACAAAATCCACAAAAGCGTTATGCAACTAAAGTAAAATACAAAACCACAGCGTGGCGCAACGATATATTCTAGCGAGCGCCTAGAAATCAAAGATCGACAACTAACAGTACTTCCACTCAGTGATATCTCCGGGATAAATCTATGCGTGGTATCGCACACATGGTCCCTCCAAGCAAATCCACATTCAAATATTTTGATCATTCAAAAGGGATGAAGCACAATCAGTTTACAACGATCCGCGCTTCCAGTCGACGAGTTGTTTCAGTTGCTCGAGGGTTAAGAAAATCAGGATTGTGGTAGGCTGGAGACGCGACCATGCGGGGAGCCAGCCTTTAAACATGAACATCGGGCCTTCGGTCGCTAGAGAGGACCGGATCACTCCAATCGTCGACTTTAAGTGTCTCAGTGTCACGCGTGGCCGATTAATCGCAAAAAACGAGACTCACGCTCGATCCGGGCCCAGAAGCATTCATGATACGGCTCTTTAGCACGTCTGCGGGTGAGCAAACAGTTGTTGCAACCGTTCCCTGAAAGAGAGCTTGACATAAGAATGTAGGAAATGAGAAGAGCTAAAACGTACTGCTGCAAAACTGGCTGTGAAATGACAACCAATGTTGTCATCGAAGTACTTTGTCTTCAGGAGCTCAGCCTTGAAGAAGTCGTACCTGAATGCGGGTTAGACATGTGACATGGATGAGAAGGTGAGAAGGGCAACTTACGAAGCCAGCTGACTGGAGTTCATCAAGATACTCCGAAAGACATTTGGACCCACACCTCGCAATAGCGATGATGGGCCCTCCTCGCGGACCATCTGCAATAATGACGTCAGCACCTCGGCCTCGGAATAAACAAGACCGGATATCAGGGACAGTCCAAAACAGTTGGGAAATGACTGGAAGTGGATACTAAAAGGTAAGGAGAAGAAAGAAGTAGACTACAGTGTTGCACAATGCGGTGTTCCAGATTGGTACCCGCTGACCTCTGAGTGATCGGCAAATTAATGTCATATGAACGCATTAATCCATGTGTCCATCCGTAATGCATTATGACCTGGCCGTCAATGATAGCGCGCTTTCCGCATACCATGGCGCAGAGTCGTCGCGTGTAAACCAGAACCGTCCAAGCACGGGTGAATGCTCGGCACAGCCAATAATATCACAAGGATGACGAAAATGGCGGAATAGGCAAGATAGGAGATAGAGCGGCGCATGGGAGTATAAAGGATGAGCAAGCGAGGAACAATACACTCTTTCGCGTTCCCATTCTCCCATCGCTGCTACGCGGCCAGTTTAGATCCGTATGGCTTGCTGCGTTTGGATTCGCGCAGTGACGCCCCCCGATAATACTGTCCTTGAGACAAAGTCGACACTAGGAAGACCGACGACCAAAATAAAGAAACACGGAGCACGGAACCGCGCGGGACACGTCTAGATCAACTGGGCATGATGCTTACTCTGAACAATGCGTCAAAGCAGTGCTTATAATTAAACCGCTTTTCGGGTGGTTTCGCGAAGTCTCCTTGCAGACGGACCTGATAAATATGGCGCGATTTGAATCAGAGGGGGCGAAGACGTTCCGGGCGGGAGCGGAAATCATGGTTCGATGGCGAAATTGAAAATCACGTAATGGAAGGCATATTGTGAGCACGAGGCAAAGGTGATAGAGGAAGACACACACCATGACGACCTCTAATCAGGCGAAATCGCTGCTCAGCGCATGGGGTCACAACATATGACATCGAGACTTACCGCCAGGGTTACCAACGACACCTGCGATGGAGCCAGCTAACTCGGGTCTCAGTATCATCGATCGTACGATATAGGATTTCGTACTCACCCATGACACCTGCTGTGGCGAGAACCCATGCAGGGCTTTGAGGTGTAGCTCCCAAGATCCTCTTACTCTCATCGTATGCCCAAAAGCGACACAAGCTGTAGCTCATCTGGCGCATCCATGTTCCAGAGATACCATCGAAGAGCCCCCGGACGCCGGCAGTGCGGACGGTCTTCTTTATGGAATCTACCATACCCTTGTCACCCGACGCTTGAAGGCGGACCTTGGTAAGGTCAAGGGGGTGGGTGATGGAAGCAGCAATTGTTGCTGCAACACCACCGAGGTAGAAGGGGTAGGGTTGCTTCTTGGGCTTCGAAGCCACGGGAGGTAACGAAGAAGGTGCTGCAGCTTGTGTGGACATGGTGGTTTGTGAGAGAAGATGTTAGATTCAGTTGGAGTGAACCGGGCGCAACTAGTTCTTCCGATGAAGGCCTAATGAAGCCAGGTCTTGATTTATCAATAGGGGATTGAACATCTTACACTTCCGCTGACTAAGCCTTCCAGTACTTAATACCATTATGACCAGGCATTCGTCATCGTGCTAGCGCTGAGATCTTCCTTCTTCAGAATCTAGGCGTTCATGTGCTTTACAACGAGCTTCATAGTCCGTTCATCGCAAGTGCTCTGTTTTCATCACGCAGCCCTGCAAGAGACCCTGCCGCATGTTTAGAATTCATCAGCTGCAATAGACAGGCGGTCACATTGTGGCAAGTCGTGTGACTGCTCTTCCCGTCATCTCCCGACTCATGTTATCTCCGCTGCGCCGCATCTCCCTTCTTCGTCTTTCTACCACCATCGATTGCATAAAATCATCGCTTTCCTAAGCTACCTTTCATCCTCTCTTCCTTGCACCTCATCTATCTAGATGACCTTTCACGCCTTGAGCATATTTGTCATGATACGTTCTATCCAGCCGGCTTCATGAAATTGAATCGTGGGTCAGTACGCGACGAGGCACCAAAGCTCACGGACACTTTTGCGTGGACGATGCGCTGGAAAAATTATTGTGGCCCACGGTGCGTGCGATCCCTCGTACTCATAGTAAAGGAAGGCTCTATTGTCATTCGGTATGTTTTACAAGTGGTATGAGACAATTCACTCGATCGTATCGATCACCCTCGATCTTGGACGTGTCGGTGTGAAATTTACCACCCACGTTTCTTCTCAACACAGGCCTTGAACGTTAACTTTGACATCGTGAGTCCTGTTGCAGCCATTCTGAACCCTTGATCTTCCAGATGCTGTGCTACTCGAGGTTTGTTCCTTGTCCTTATCCTTGGCATCCATTTGAAGGATGGATTTTATTCCAGCTTTACTTGAGGGTATTTCCCAACTCGCGTACCGTGGATGACCATTTCCCTCATTCTGAGCAAACCGTTGCTGTGCACGGGTGCTCGGAATGACGTGAATGATGTATCTGACTGGACCATATAATTCAGACCAAGTGTTGTATTGAATCTGCTAACACGAAGAGCGGAACACATCAATGACTAATTCGTATCACATATCCACCGTCCAACGGTCTCGGTCCGTCCTGATAGGAAGGAAGCGTCTCCCAATGTTAAGAACTTTTCAATATTGCCCCGCCGACTGATCAGGCACATATCCATTCGCAGCAACAACATCCCAGTGCGCATACATACCTAGCTACAACATCCGTACTTGACGCAACCCATCCTGTCCCTCTGTCAGCGCAGGCTTACGACCGTCCCACGTCAAACTCGTCGATCAGCATTGATTTATGCATGGAACTCCCACCCGAGAGTCTTTTGGCCGCACCTTGTTCTGACGTTGGCTATTGTTCAAGATGCCATGAGAATGAGACCAAGCCCGGAAGCAACATCGATATAAAGGCGGGTCGTGTTTTAACCAGAAGGTGTTCCGCACGGTTGGCTTAAAATCCCTCCAGAAGTAATAACCAGAGTTCGCCATCTTCGACACACGCTTTGTTAGTTGTCACCGTGGACGAA